ATGTGAGCGCTTACAATGTAGCTCGTTTGTCGGATTGGGGACATCCGAATCGACCGCAAGGTCTAACAATAACTGCAACGAATTTCAATGATTTTATTCGACGCCTTTCACCTTTGGCACATTTCACTTTAACAACAGAAAACTTGAACGAACTGAATGCTATTGTTGATGTCACCCTGAAATCACCACCACGATATTTATGCATCAACTCAGTTCTGACCATCAAGGGACATTTTGTAAGAAGCTCCGACATTCAAGTCTTCAAATGCCAACCACCGACGAATTTGGAACAAATTCGAGTATTTGCTACACACACTTTCTACGTGGATACCGATCTTAATCTCAATGGCATGCCCTGCATTGAACTGCATATTTTGGCAAATAAATGGCACATTTTAAAAGAGTCAACCTTTTATTTGAATGGAAACGATGGATCATCGCTACCATCGTTGGAATCATCTGGAGCGGGCGGTAGGCCAGGTAATCCAGGAATGAACTCTGGCAACTTCTTTGGAATAGCACAACAAATTGTCAATGGCAACCTACTAACAGTTCAGCTTAAGAGTGGCGATGGAGGAGACGGACAAGACGGCACTGGTAGTCCAGATGTTGAACCGACATTCTATCCAGAACGTATTCATGTGGTTCGTACAGCGGAGGACATAAATAGGCAAAGTTTTCAAGACCGTATTCAGGAGTACATTGACCAGCACAGCAATGGCATTGTTACTTATTATAACAGTAAGAACGATAAGAAATTCGATTTTGGTGTTACCGTTGAAGATGTCAAATATAATTACGAAATAAAAGCGACACAAACGTGTGGTCCATCTGGAATCGGAGGTTCGGGTAAGAAATTGAATTATGATTCGAAAATTGCCTTAGATTAGATAGAATCATTAAATACAGTTTTCTAACTAAACTCATTACTTTCACAGGTGGTAAAGGTGGATATTCTGGATATTATCACTTTATTTCAACAGCAAGTCCAGAAACTGCTGCAAATAAACTACCGAGAGTTGTGAAAAAAATTGGCAGTAATGGCAGCGCTGGTGATGACGGAAGAAACTGTGTACTGTATAGAAGAGACGTTGTTGCTGACACAAATATCGTCAAATTGTTTGATGCTCTATACGTTCAAGACACAACATTTACCTCAAGCTTGATCTCAATCGATGAAAACCGCGAACAGAGCATGAGCATCATTTCACAAACATTTCCAAATTCACCCAAAAGTTTTGACATAACACCAACTCTAACGGCATACAAAAGCGTTTTACAGGAAAATTTTAATAATCCAACTCTCTTAGATATTGTACAGAAAACATTGAAATCAATCGATTCTAATGAGGAATTGGATCGTTTGAAGGAACTAAGAGATTGAAATGAGATTTTCGTTTTGAAGTCTAAACAGCTGAACAAAATAAATGGCTAAGTTCAATTGTTCAGGTGTTTTAGATCAAAAGTAGTTTGAATTACGGCATTTCAAAGTAATTTCATAAGTTAAATTGAAAGGGAAGTCTTGGTCCTTATCAAACATGGCCCAATACCAAAAAAAAAACTACTCATAATTTATAAATTTATAATTGATAACGATTCAGTTGGATTTTAGTAAATTTTACTCATTCGATAAGGTAAAAATAAATAGGAATCGGATTTTGAGTGCACTTGATTTTTGATTTTGAATATGAAATATCTCTAGCGGCTTATGATTTATACGAGTCAAGGCGAGTAAGTACCAATTTCCACGAGTTATTATAAGAGAAACGTAGACAATCTGAATGAAGACTCGTGAATCTTAAAGATGTACAGCGAAATGCAAAAAGTATGCAGACTTAATCATAAACGACGAAAAATATGAACGGAACCAAATTCTTCTTATCCAATTAAAGGATGTTTCAGCAATTTCCTTATTGTAAAAAGTTAATAATGCGCTTTATGTGTTACTTTTTCGCATGCCCATGTCGTGGACTGCGTAAAAGTATTGCATTTGGCCCAAATTTTAAGACACCCCAAAAGTATGATTTCTATCCGTTTTCGAGGCCGTAGAACACGAAAAAATGGGT